CTCGCACCTAACGTGTTTATCAAAAAAGAACGGTTCAAAGCTTCCCAGTTAAAAATATCCTCAAACATGTGATTCTCATGTGTGTCGGCTTGCAGGGATCCATGTGACAAAAGTACACAATCAGTTACATCAGCATTTTAAAAACGTATTTTTTGGAAACGCCCTACTTTACGATGAAATCTGCTCACCAACTTTCTGCTATTGCATGGAGATTCTCACCGCAGTTCCTGATGAGCGTAGGTATGGCTGAATAGCACGTCCTGGAACGTTCATCAATGTCCGATAATGCAATCAGTAACTAATTATCCAGAGTGCATTTTCATGAATTCAAGACGTCTCAATCCACTCGTCAAATGAATCATCATCATGATCATCATCGATAGCATGATATGTGTTTAACACCGATGTTTCCGTACCCTATAAACATGGTTTAGTTGAATGCCCTATTGTAAAGAGAAGAATGAAAGTGGACGGGGAAGGGACTTAGTGCTAGCTTACTACAATCATTCCGGAGTGCCTACATCTCCAGACGTTCACTCAGGCGATCTGGATAAAAAACCTGCCAACAAGAACGCCACTGACATCGGTTGACAGTCATATCTTGTAGGTCTCCAACCAGGCGCAGTGGGGGTCACGTGGTCCCCATCCTGGGAGGTGAGTAGCACCAATAGAACCCTGATGTTTCGCAATCTCCTTCATCCCCCTCTACCAGGTCAATTTCGGGCAACTTTTCTGGTTCTACCCCTCTGGAATGGGCATGAGACACAGCACTGTCTACGGAAAACGCAGCAGCTTCTGGTGCTGGACGCATTCTCCAATGGAAGTGCCCGTTGCACAACCGAACACTCGCTTTCTAACTGCCCCGTTACGAATTCGCTGTCACCAACCCACATGAGCTGTAGATCTAAGACAACGACTTTTGAATACCTGAAGACGTCTTGGTTCCGCTACCCTAAAATAACAAGTCGTTTCTTTTTTCGAGAAATACACTCATCTTTATTTTACACCTTTTTTACACACATTGTTTTTGAACACTGTTTTCGACATTTCGATATTTTAGACTGTTTTAAATTGATAACACGTGAATTCCCCCAAGCTATTGCTAGACAGGCTAGACAGGAAGTAGCGAGACGAATTTGAGTAAGCAAATTTTCTTCTCCCGTTTTCTTCAACATTTTAGATTTTACAATTCAAATCTCGCCTCAGTGGTCATCCAACAATGATCAGTGTCATTTTAGCAGCACAACTAATCAGTCGTTGTGGCCCTCGTCATCCTAGGAGGCAAGTCCAAACAAGAAAAATTCAGTTTGTCAAACTGCTTGGATGAAATATTCTGGATGTTCAAAACCTGTTACTTCCCAAGAAAACCAACATCAATTTTCCGTGCACGCAAAATAGTGATCACTTTTTTTGTTACCGAGGTTAACCCCTCAACCACAATATAATATAATTATTTCAGTGATAAATTGTTCTGCACCAAGTTTCTCAGAGAACTACAAAATTTACGGGGAGCTGAAGGTCAGTTGACGACATGTCAGTTGCTCAGTGCCATTAAAGCGTTTCAATTGAACGAACTTTAGACTCTCAGTTTGCCAAGGTTTAGACAGATGCAAACAAGGAAATAAGGGTTTGAACCATGGACCATCCGATGAGTTGTCGCTTACCTCAATCACGTGACAATATCAAGATCGATGGTGGTTCCAGTGTACATTGTACTTTATATGTTCCCTTGAAGACCACATTTCGAAACCACCAAGTCAGTCGACAGTGTTACGATAGAACCTCCGAGCCAGCATCTGCTCACTTCGTAAATTCACCTGTGAGAGTTTTGAACAACCAGTTTTCCCAAAGTTGACTGATTTATTGTCAGCTGACTGAATCGACCTGCTTCTTTTGTGTA